GCCAAGGAGAGGTGGGCACAGTGGGGCACCAGCTAGCAGTGGCACCTTCAGATCTGCTACTGGAGAGGAGTGGTCACCAGATCTTCCAGAGCCAGGGTCAACCCCTGCCTCAGTGGGAAGGTGCTCTGCCCTGCAGCCAACTGCCAGGCCCTTCCTTCAGCCCAATTTAGTCCACTTAGACTAGAAAGAATGACGGTGAGCCGGGCTCCAGTGGCTCATGCCTGTATCCTAGCTGAGATGTGAAAACTGAAGTTCAAAGCCAGCCTAGATAGGGAGGAAAGGAAGAAAAGGAGGGAGGGAGGAAGGGAGGGGAAAGAGGGAGAGGGAGAGAGAAAGGGGGCAGAGTGAGAGAGGGAGGTAGGAAGAAAGGGAGAGAGAGAAAGAGAAAGGGGGGCCTGGGAATGTGGCTTAGTGGTAGAGTGCTTGCCTAGCATGCATGAAGTCCTGGGTTCAATTCCTTAGTACCACATAAACAAAAAAAGCCAGAAGTGGTGCTGTGGCTCAAGTGGTAGAGTACTAGCTTTGAGCCAAAGAAGCTCAGGGACAGTGCCCAGGTCCTGACTTCAAGCCCCAGGAATGGCCAAAAAAAAAGAAAAAAGAAAATTCCTGGGGTTTGAATCAGAGCTTGGGCACTAACCATAAACTGTTTTGCTCAAGTCTGGCACTCTACCATTTGAGCCACAGCTCCATTTCCAGCTTTTTTTTTTTGTCTTTTTTTTTTGTCAGTCATGGGGCTTGAACTCTGGGCCTGGGCGCTGTCCCTCAGCTCTTCAGCTCAAGGCTAGCGCTCTACCACTTGTGCCACAGCACCACTTCCAGTTTTCTGAGTGGTTTATTGGAGATAAGAGTCTTACAGACTTTCCTGCCCAGGCTGGCTTTGAATGGTGATCCTCAAATCTTAGCCTCCTGAGTGGCTAGGATTACAGGTGTGAGCCACCGGCGCCCGGCCATTTCTAACTTCTGTGCTAGTTTATTGGAGATCAGAGTCTCATGGGCTTTTCTGCCCTGGCTGGCTTTGAGCCGTTATTCTCTGATCTCAGCCTCCTGAGTGGCTGAGTGATCACAAGCATGAGCCCCGTGCCCAGCTTGCATCCCCCCCTTTTTTTTTTGGACAGTCATGGGGCCTCAATTCTGGGCCTGGGCGCTGCCCCTCAGCTCAAGGCCAGCGCTAGCAGTGGGCACTTTCAGATCTGCTACTGGAGGGGATCAAACAGAGTGGTCACAGGATCTTTCAGAGCCAGGGTCAACCCCTGCCTCAGTGGGAAAGAGTTCTCCCACTTGAGCCACAGCGCCACTTCCAGCTTTTTCTGCTTATGTGATGCTGATGACTCTAACCCAGGGCCTCATGCATGCAAGGCAAGCGCTCTACCACTGAGCCACCTTCCCAGCCCCATGCATTCCTATATTTCCCCCCCTGCTACTCTTGGGTCTAGGCACTGTCCCTGGGCTTCTTTTGCTCAAGGCTAGCACTCTACAACTTGACCCACGGTACTACTTCCCACTTTTTCTGTTTATGTGGTACTGAGGAATGGAACTCGGGGCTTCATGCTTGTTAGGGAAGCACTCTACCACTGAGCCACATTCCTAGCCAGCATCCCTATTTCAATCTTGGCCTCCCTCCTAAACCTTCTTCTTCTCCCCAGGTGCGGACCTATAAGGGCCTCCTGGACTGTACCAAGCAGGTGATGCAACATGAAGGCATACGGGGCTTCTTCAAGGGCCTGTCCCCCAGCCTGCTGAAGGCCGCCTTGTCCACAGGCTTCATGTTCTTCTGGTACGAGTTCTTCTGTAACCTCCTCTACTGTATCCGGAGGGAGGACAGTTAGCTCAGAGGACAGGAGGGGCCTCCAGTGGAGGCTGCCTCCTCAAAGAAACAAGAGTTACCCGCTGAGCTCCTGTGGCTCTGAGGGCTGCAGCCTGCTGTGCCCTCTAGGCCAGCTTTCTGGAGTCACTGAGAAGGTGGCTGAGAAGGGGGCCGCCTGGACCCAGCCGGCTGAGACCCCCCAGCAGAAGGGCAAAGGCCTTCTCCATGGGAAGTGCTGGGAGAAGGAAGCAAGTGGAAAGCGCTGGGACAGAGCAAGCGGCTGTGGCTTCTCCTTTGTTCAGGCCAGACCTGCCTCCTCTGAGGTACCTTCCTCCTCCGGAAACACCTGGCTCTGGCTCGGAAGCGCAGCTTGAGGGCTAAGAGAGCACTGGGACTGGGCTCTCTTAGGAGGGTGCCCCCCCCCCCAGGGCTGTTTTCCCCGCCAACTTATTTAACAGACATTAAAGCAACAAGCACATTCCTTCTTCCCGCACCTTCCTTTGAGAGCCACCTCCCTGAACGCGGGCGTGAAGGAAGGGCCCCCACGCTTCTGGCTCAGCTTTTATCCTAGGCACAGAGGGGGGACCCGCTGACTGGTTTCCCAAAGCCCCAAGCCAAGAAGGTTGAGTCTGCAAAGGCATTGGCACCCAGGCCTTCTCTCTCTCTCTCTCTCTCTTTTTTGTCAGTCATGGGCTTGTGAGTGCTGTCCCTCTGCTCTTCAGCTAGCGCTCTACCACTTGAGCCACAGCACAACTTTTGGCTTCTGCTTATGTGGTGCTGAGGAATTGAACCCAGGAACTCAGGCATGCAAGGCAAGCGCTCTACCACTGAGCCCCCTTCCCCTCTCCCTCCCCCCTTTTCTCTCTCTGTTTCTCTCTTGTTCCTTCCCTCCCCCTCCTCCCTCCCTCGCCTCTTTCCCTCTCTCTCCTCTTTGTGCCAATACTAGGGCTTGAACTTGGGGCCTAGGTGCTGTCCCTAGTTTTGTTTTTTGTTTTTGTTGTTCGAAGTTGCCACTCTACTGCTAGAACCACAGGTCCCCTTGGCTTTTTTGGTGGTAAATTGGAGATGAGCGTCCCAGATTTTCCTGCCTGGACTGCCTTCAAATTGTGATCCTCACATCTCAGCCTCTTGAGTAGGCTAGCACTAAAGGTGTGAACCACCATGCTCAGCTTCACACACTTTTGCTTAGGACCATGTGGGCCTGGGTAAAGAGCCCAACAGCTTACAGGCGGGAAGTGGAGCATGCGTGCTGACTGGCTTGAGTATGGGGGAGGGGGGTGTCATTCCCCCAGGCGACCTCAGATGACCCGTCACAGGAAGACCCATCCCATCTGATCCGTTCCGTTCTAGTGGAGGTGAAGGTCTGGCATCAACGCCGCCTCAGGCTGTGCCTGCTCAGAGTGTTAACCCTGAATGGCAGCCCAGGTGGGGCACAGCTGGCACCGGAAGTCATCAGAGCCCGGGGGCACACGCGGGGATCTACACACCACGGAGAAACGGGTTCGGGCTGCTGGGCTGGAGCGGGGCCGCGCCTTCGCCCAGCGCTGGGCTTGAGTTCCGGCCGCTGCGGCAAGCCGGGCCCTGCCCTCTGCCATGGGGGCCCCGGGCGGGCCCTCGGTGGCGCCCACCCCCGCCCCACCGCCGGCTGGCGCAAGTCCCTACAGAGTCCAGGCTGAGGCGGCGAGGCCGGGCCGCGGGGAGGCGCCGCCGGGGCGCGGGGCGCGGGGCGCGGGGCGCGCGTGTCTGTTACCCGCACACCGGTTCCTTTGCTGCCGCTGAGAACTCGGCGCCTCCACGGCTCCCGACTGCTACGGCGGCTCCGCAGCAGGAGCGAACGTCCTGGAAGCCGCTCTGCTCCCCGGAGCCGGGCAGCAGGGCCGGGGGCGGCGACGCTCACCGCGGGCGGCGGGGGCAGCGCGGGACCTCGGAGGGAAGCCGAGCGGGGGAAGCGGAGCCGCGCGCCGCCCGCCCCGTCGTCGTCGTCGTCGAGCCCGGCCACGCCCCCCGCGCGCTCCTCCCCCTCGGCGGGGCCAAGTCGGCCCTGATCCGGTCACCTGAGCCTCGGAGGGACCAGCCGGGCGGACTCGGCCTCGGGCTTCCTGCGGACGGAGAAGCTCCCAGTCGGCCCAGCGCGCGAGCCCTCGGGGCCGGGCGGGGCAGGGCGACGGCGCGTCCCGCATCCCGGGCCGGCGGACTGGCCTCCCCGCCCGCCGTCCCGCGCCGGGCATCGGGACCGCGCCCCGGCGCGTGGCGCTAACCCGGGCGGCGGAGCCCTGGGCCGGCAGAGGGCGCCCGCGAGCCGGCCCGCGCCGGAGATGAGCTCAGACCCGGCGCGCGGGCGCGGCGCCGGCGCGGCAGGTGGGTCCCGGCGCTCCGGGCCCGCGGGACCCCACGGCGTCCCGGGCTCGCGGAGGCTCCCGAGGCCTGGAGAGCCGCCAGGTCGCCTCCTCCGACCCGAGGGGCCGTCCGCGTGCGGAGGGGCCTCCAGCGGGAGCCAGCTCTCGGGTCGCGTATCCGCTCCCCACCCTACGAGGAAGGACCCAGCGTGCAACCAGCCCCGATGGGCTGGGAGGGTAGGGCTGGGTCCCGGCCACGCCGGAGCCAGTTTCACCGGCAGTCCCGGCCCGGTCCGGCAGAGGCGGGCGGGGACACGGGGAGACGCGGAGGCGGCTGTGGCGCCCGCGCAGGCCCGGCCCCGGCCCCGGCCCGGGGCGGCAGGGGGTGGGCTTTGTGGATCGAGGACGACTCTGGAGACGTCTAGCGACGGCTGCGCTGCCGCAGGCGCTGAGGTCCGCAGCGTGGGGCCCTCAGCTTCGTCCCCTGCGGAGTGGAGGACCCTTCGTGTGAGCCCAACACTGCACCCCAGCTTAGGCACCGTCGCTCAAGTTACTTCAGTGCCGGCTAAAAATAACCTGCCTGCCCCGAGAGGGCGGGCCGGGGGCCTTCGCCCTTCGTCGCTCCTAATCCCCGGAGCCCGGGGTTTCCCAGGCTCAGCAGGTGCCCGGCCGGCTCGGCCCGTCTCCGCCAGGAGCCAAGCTTAGTGGGCTCGCGGTCAGCCGCGGAAAGCGGCGGTCCGCCCGGTTGCACCTGTTCCCAGGAGCGTTGGCCCCGCCCCCCGCACACCTGAGGCCCCGTCCCTCCCGGCTTCTTCCCAGGTGCTGTCACAGCCCCCGCTCAGTGAGGAGCTGCTGGGACTGACCGATTGTCATGGGGGAGGCCGGGAGAGAAGAGTATAAAATCCAGTCTTTTGACGCAGAGACCCAGCAGCTGCTGAAGACAGCGCTCAAAGGTGAGCGGGGAGTCCCCGCAGCCCCGTCCAGCCCTTGTCTGGGAATAGGAGTCACAGCCCAACGCAGACCGAAGGCAGCCCACAGGCAGGCCGGTTTGGGGAGGATGAATCAGTCGTGTCTCTGCCTGTAAAGCCTTTAAGTACCCATGAAAGAGAACAAGGCTCCTGCCCTTTAAGCCTTTGAGGCTGACTGGCTTTCTGACAGCTCTCTTTAATATGCAGAGCTGCCGGATTTGGATGGATGGAGGACCCGGCTTTTCCACTTGAGCAGTCAGGACTGGAGATTGACCTGGTTAACCACTAGCTATGTTCTTGTGAGCTTGTGGGGAGCCCCTGCTGCTCCGGCGCGGGGCCGTGTTATCGGGACACATGTGGCATTGGGTGTTCAGTAGTTTCTCAACTTCGTGCCAGGAAAAGATGTGCCCTGAGACACATTCACTTTGATCATTTCCAGCTCTCTGTAGAGAACCAGGGGGCTGATGGCTGGGGCTGCCCCGAGACATGGCTTCTGCCTGTCTCCTTTGGAGGTGTTCTCGTTTCCTTTGCAGTGTTGGGGATGAAACCCTGAGTCTCACACACGGTAGGCAAGCGTTCACCCACTGAGCTACACCCCCGCCCCATAGTCTCCTTAAATGTCAACATTTAGCGCTCTGAGGACATCTAATATCCACAGAAGTAGGTGGCGGCAAGTGTGCCAACAATGGGCAGCTCTAGGTTCCCTCCTGTCTCTACCCTAGATCCAGGTGCGGTGGACTTGGAGAAAGTGGCCAATGTGATCGTGGATCACTCTCTGCAGGACTGTGTGTTCAGCAAGGAAGCAGGCCGCATGTGCTACGCCATCATCCAGGTTGGGGAGTTGGCAGAGGAGAGGGAGCTGCTGTAAGATGTCTCAGGAGAGGGCGCAGGCCAGCTAGAATAGAGATGTACAGGGAGTGGCCAGGATGGGTGGGGTAGCAATAGCACCGTCCCTCTGGCTCTCATCACCCTCTCCCTGGCTCACAGGCAGAGAGTAAACAAGCAGGCCAGAGTGTCTTCCGCCGTGGACTCCTCAACCGGCTGCAGCAGGAGTACCAGGCCCGGGAGCAGCTGCGAGCGCGCTCCCTACAGGGCTGGGTCTGCTATGTCACCTTTATCTGCAACATCTTTGACTACCTGAGGGTGAGGCCTGCCACCCTGAGAGGCAGAGGCCTGCTTCCAAGGCCAGGTTGGACAGTTTCCCCAGGGCCGCTAATACAGCTGCCCTGACCCCTCTCCTCCACACAGGTGAGCAACATGCCTATGATGGCCCTCGTGAACCCTGTGTATGACTGCCTCTTCCGGCTAGCCCAGCCCGACAGTCTGAGCAACGAGGAGGAGGTGAGTAGTTGGGGAGGTGGTGCTAGAGATGAGCTGCCTGAGTTGGCTCAGAATAGCAAACTCCTCCTGCAGAGACCCTGGAAGGCATTGCTTCTGGGCAGGAGCCTGGTGCAGTTACATGACCGACTGCTGGGTCTAGTATTTATCCAGAACAGAGCAGCCAAACCTGACTAGTTCAGCAGCTCCCTCCCCAGCAGGAAACCCAAGCTCCAATAGGAATGGTGAGAGCGCATGGCCAGCTGCGGGTACAGTAGGCACAGAAACTAAACCTGGGCCAAGTTGTGAAGAGTAGGCAGAAAAGTAGGATTAACCAGTAGATTGGAGACAGGTCTGAATCCAGCCTGGCCAGATGTTCGAAGCAAGTTCATGTGTACCCACGATCAGGTAAGGGTGAGTGAAGAATGAACACAGAACAAGGGCAAAGCACAGAAGCTGGCACTTGGCACGTGCTGTCGCTCTTGTGTGCTGGGTTGGCTCGCCCGGAGCTGACCAGGAGGCTTCCTGCTGCCTTTGCAGGTAGACTGCTTGGTTCTGCAGCTGCACCGGGTCGGGGAGCAGCTGGAGAAGATGAACGGGCAGCGCATGGATGACCTCTTTTTCTTGATCCGGGATGGCTTCCTCCTCCAAACCAGTCTCAGCTCCCTGTCCCATCTGCTGCTGCTGGAGATCATTGAGTTCCGGGCAGCTGGCTGGAAGACCACACCTGCTGCCCACAAGTATTACTACAGTGAGGTGACTGACTAGGCTTGGCCACGCACTGGCCATTCTGTAATTCTAATCCACAGTTGGTAACAGAGTGCCTGCCTCTCCATGGTCCCTTCTCAACCATCCCTCCTCCCTACTTAACCGGTGGTCCTGCCTCCTTTCCTTCCTCCACTAAGGACCTGGAAGACACCATGCAGTCCTGCTGCACTGCTCCTTCCCAATAGCCGCTTCCTCCCGCTTTCCACGTGGGTCAGGTGAGAAGGGCAACTCCCACCCAGAGCCATGTAGCCACTGGTACAACACTACCACGGTGCCTCAGTTTTCCCATCTACAAAATGGGTTACCACAGCCATAGGGTACTTTAGGACATCGAGAAGCAGCGACCAAACACAAGTCAGGATAGAAACTGCATTTGATATACTTTTGTACAATGACTGCGGTGGAGACAAGCCCCAGCCAGTCAGCTGTAATGAAATGGCCACTCATCAGGTCAGGCCGAGCATTTTCTAATAAATCTTTTCTCATACGAACACTGCCTTCTTTCAGTGTCTACATGTCTAGCCCCAGCTGAGGGAAGAGAAGATTGGCCTTAGTTTCTCAGAGGGAATCCCCGAGGGGCTATGTTCTTCAGCAGGGGTTGGAGAGGGATACCAGTGGTAGCCCTGAAGGAAAAATGGGCAGCGAGCACACTGCTCCATCCTTTTCCACGTCCTTCACTCACAGCTGTCCCAGGTCCTCTCCCTTGGGGCAGTGGATTCCTGCGTGGAGAGCCTGGCTCCTCCCTGGGCCTGTCCTCTCCTCTACCACCAGCGGTAGTGGGCCAGCGCCCTGTTGGCCTCGGCCATCTTGTGCATGTCGTGCTTCCTCTTGATCACTGGGCCTTGGTTGTTAAAAGCCTCCAGCAGCTCGTGTGACAGTTTCTCTGGCATCAGTGTCCGCCGGTGCTTCTTCTCTCTGCACTCGGTGATCATCCACTTCATAGCCAGGAAGCGTCGACGTCGGTCGGCTATGGGTGCAGGGACCTGGGTAAGCAAAGGCACAGGTGAAGGGCCTGCCAGGTCTGGGCCTTCCTAGCTCTGAGGAGGGGCTGCGTTTCCCCTGGGCGGCCCCAGTAAGGCTTTGTTTCTTTGATCATCTCTCACCCTTGCGTGACTTCGGTTTAACAGACATAAGGCCACCTACTCAGCAAACACTCATTAAGCACAAGCCTCTTGTCCTCCTAAAAGGAAAAGTAACCAAGCTGACGCAAGCGTGAACTGGGGACAGACTTGTTAGCTGGAGTGATTTAGCTGCCTCAGATCAAGGGTAACTAAAAACTGTCCCTCATGCAAGAATCATTTCCCAGGTTCTATTATGTGTCAGGGACTATGCCAGAGGCTAAGGTGGAGACAGGCCCACCCTCGGTGTTTAGACCAAAAAAGAAGCCAAGAAAATCTTATGACAACAAAAAATGATTAAATGCTAAAATAGAGATATCTTGTTAAATCCAACAAACTAACGAATTGTCAGTTATGAGTTAAGTACTATGCTAGATACGGGCACATAAACATGGACCTTCAACATGAGAAGTTTACAGTTTAGGGATTCAGGATGCTGGACAGAGGGAAGGGGAGACTCCCAGAAGATGTCATTTTGTCATTTCTTTGCTCTCTCTCTCTCTTTTTTTTTTTGGTGTCAGTTGTGGGGCCTGAACTCTGGGCCTAGGCACTGTCCCTCAGCTCTTCAGCTCAAGACAGGGGCTCTACCACTTGAGCCAGAGAGCCACCTCTGGCTTTTTCTGCTTATATGGTGCTGAGGAATGGAACCCAGGGCCTCATGCATACAAGGCAAGTACTCTACCATTGAGCCACCTTCTCAGCCCTCTTTTTTTGCTTTGTCAATGATGGGACTTGAACTCAGGACTTAGGCGCTATCTTAAGGGTAGCACTTAAGGCTAGCACTTTACCACTTCAAGCCACAGCTCCCCTTCCGGTTTCTGGCAGTTAATTGGAGATAACAGTCTCATGAAAAAGCCGGAAGTGGCGCTGTGGCTCAAGTGGTAGAGCACTGGCCTTGAGCTGAAGAGCTGAGGGACAGCGCCCAGGCCCAGAGTTCAGGCCCCATGACCGGACCCAAAAAAAAAAAAAAAAAAGAGTCTCATGGACTTTCCTGCCTGGGGTTGGCTTTGAACCATGATCCTCAGATCTGTTTCCTGAGTAGTTAGGACTATAGGTGTGAACCATCAGTGCATGGCTCTCTCTTTTCTATCTCTACCTGTGATCTCTGTCTATACTACAGGATCCAGAGGAATGGATCCTGACATGTCCCAAATCTAGAAGGCCATGACCCTTGGCCCAACTGTGTGCCTCCCCCCTCCCCCGCCTTGTTTCACAGGTAGGCAACGCTGCTTTCTTGCCCCCATCACCTGGTAGAAATGGCCACCTCTGAGGATGGGGACTAGCCCAATCACTGGCTCACAGTTTTTCAGTGCCTTGTGGAAGATGACATAGGGGTTGCGTTCAATAGTTGCCCGCTCCTCCGCAGAAGCGGCGTGGTACTTCTCAAACTGCTTCCTTTTCACTGCTTCCAGAGTCTGCAAAGGGAGACATCACAAAGGCTACTCAGGCTCCCCACATCACTTACTAGCTTAGCACCTTGCCTTTTACTCACATCAACATGGCCAGACGTCTCCTCCCTCAGCACATCCAGCACTACATTTCTAAGTTTCTCCTGCTTCACTGTGCTATCATAGGACAGAGTGCACTAGCTAATGGGAGGGAAATGACAGACTCCTGCAGGACTGCATCAAAACCCCCATTTCCACACACACACACACACACTCACTCTTTTTTTTTTTGGGGGGGGGGTCCAGTCGTGGGGCCTGAACTCTGGGCCTGGGCGCTGTCCCTCAGCTCTTCAGCTCAAGGCTAGCGCTCTACCACTTGAGCCACAGCACCATTTCTGGCTTTTTTTCTTTTTGCTTATGTGGTGCTGAGGAATCGAACCCAGGGCCTCATGCATGCAAAGCAAGCGCTCTACCACTAAGCCACCTTCCCAGTCCAACATTTTTTTTTTTGTGCCAGTCCTAGGACTTGAACTCAGGATCTAGGTATTGTCCCTGAGCTTATTTGCTCAGGCTAGCATTCAAACACTTGAGCCACAGCTCCACTTCAGCATTTTTTTAGAGGGGGATAGTTAAGTGGAGATTAAGAGTCTCACAGGTAGCCAGGTGCTGGTGGCTCACACCTGTAATCCTAGCTACTGAGGAGGCTGAGATCTGAGGATCACGGTTCAAAGCCAGCCCAGGCAGGAAAGTCCGGAAGACTCTAATCTCCAAGAAACCACTAGAAAACCGGAAGCGGCACTGTGGCTCAAGCAGTAGAGCACTTGTCTTAAGCTGAAGAGTGCAGGAATAGCACCCAAGCCCAGAGTTCAAGCCCCATGACCGACAAAAAAAAAAAAAAACAACTCTCACAGACTTTCCTGTCCAGTCTGGCTTTTAACTGAAATCCTCAGATCTGTTTTCTAGGTAACTAGGATTACAGGCATGAGGTATGAGCCACCAGCACCCAGCTTTATTTTTTTTTGGGTCCGGTCGTGGGGCCTGAACTCTGGGCCTGGGCACTGTCCCTAAGCTCTTCAGCTCAAAGCTAGCACTCTACCACTTGAGCCACAGCGCCACTTCCGGCTTTTTTCTTATGTGGTGCTGAGGAATCGAACCCAGGGCCTCGAGCATGCAAGACAAGTGCTCTACCACTGAGCCACCTTCCCAGCCCTTTACTTGTTTTTTTGAGGAAGTATCTCCCTAATTTTTCCCTGACTGGTCTCAAACTCAGAATCCTGCTTCTGCTTCCCAAGTAGTTGGTGTTAGTCTTTTCTTGAGGGGGACAGAAGGATGCCAGTAGTGAGTCTTGAACTCAGGGCTTAGACATTGTCCTGCAGATTTATTTGCTCAAGACTGGTGCTCCACCACTTGAGTCATAACTCTATTTCCAGCTTTTGGAGTTTTCCTGTCCAGCCTGGCTTTGAACAAGATTCTGAGATCCCAACCTCCTGAGTGGCTAAGATCACAGGCATGAGCCACCAATGCCTGACCAATTCTCTAATTTTAAAGCTGAGATGAACCAGACAGGGTCCAAAGCTAGAGGAAAAACCAAAAACAAGAATAACTATTTACCTGGTTCATGAGGGATCTGGCCAGTACCTTGTTTCCTCCTCTCATCATCATGTTGGTGAACTTACTTCAGAAAACAAACAAACAAAAAAAAGGAACATTGTTAGCTTTTTTGGTAAATTCTTTATTGCTTTTGTGCTGGTACTAGGGCTTGAACTCAGGGCCTGGGTGCTGTCCTTAGTCTTTTCACTCAAGACTGACATTCTACCACGGAGGCCACAGTCCAACTTCGGGCTTTTTGCTGGTTACTTGGAGGTAAAGAGTCTCCTGGACTTTCCTGCCCAGGCTGATGGATTACAGGCATGAGCTGCCCGGCAGTATTTAGAAATTCTTTAAACCCTCCGTAGGATCGTTCCAGTCCACGCCACGAGTGTTTCCATCTAACCTGATCACCGGGTCTGCAAACACAGAGCTTGTTTTCGTTGATGGGGCAGCTTTGATGGGCTGAGTTTTCTTGAGCTCCTGCTCATGTTTCTCCTCCTCGGTGAGTTCGGCCTCAGGTCTGCGGTAATGTTCTTTGTCAGTGAGGGGATCCCTGAATTCAGGACCGTAGCGGCTCCATCTCACCTGGCTTAACCTGCGAGTGGAAAGAGGAAGCTGACCACACACGCGTGATAAGCTTGACTTAACAATAGCAATGTGCGCCAGACCGCTGACGAGGGACAGCAGCGCCAAGAACCGCGGGCGAAGCACGCACCGCAGGAATTCTGGCCCCTGTCCGAAGCGGTCGCAGGGCCTTCTCCTTGTCTCGTGCTGACAGCGAGGCTCAGCGAACCCCTCCTGCCTCTCCCTGCCCCGCCCGCCCAGCTCGGGGCTCAGCCGGGCCGCGCTTGCAGCCCCCAAGAGAACCCGACCCCTCGGGCCCGAGCCCGGCCCTCCCCCGGGCGCCAGGTCACGCAGCTAAGGCCTGAGTGCAGGGCTAGCCCGACCCCTGGGACAGCCGTCTTCCTCCCGGGCCCAGCGCGGCCTCCTGTGGCTCCCTTCCTCCCTTCCAGGTCCTTCCGAAAGACCCAAGCGGCGTGCCCGGCTGCCCGCTCACCCCGGAAGCCGCCAAACAGCACACAGCACCCCGAGTGACAGGCCCGGCCACCCGGGCGCCGCTCTCAGTGCGGGGGCAGCCATCTTGGCCGGCTTCGAGGACCCCACGAGGGCTGCCCTCAGCGCGCCTGAGCGAATGACGAAATAGACGGGTTAAAGGCTCCACGGGGTCCTAAATCTGAACCTCACTCCCTTGATTTGGGTGTTAAAGTCTTTCACCCTGACGCCCGAGCGAAAGAAGAGCCGAAAGCACACACTGCCATTCCCAGGGTCCGTCGCAGTCAGGCGCTCCCTCCGGCGGCAGCACTTTCGCCTCTCAGGCCCCCGCGTATGCCGCACCTCGGACGGTCTCGTGCAGAATCTCGCGAGGTTTGAAGCCGCGGGGCTGGCCCGGGCGGCTGCAATATGGCGGAGGCGGAAGGGGAGAGCTTGGAGTCCTGGCTGAGTGAGTAGCCGCGCCGCCTCGGCCTGCCACCCCGCTGCTGCCCTGTCTGCGCCCCCCGGCGCCCCCTGGGCCGGGCTCCGCGGGCTCGCCGCGCGGGCGGGCGTCGCGCGCTACGCCGCTTCCCTCGGCGCGTCCTCCGGTTCCCGCGCGCGGCGGGGACAGGCCGCGGGAAGATGACAGCCCGGCTCCACGGGAGGACAGGCTTGGCTGCGGGGGGGGCGGGCCGCTCCCGGCTGGGGCCCGGGCGCGACGGGGCTGCCCTGACCCAAACGCGCGCCTGGCGGCTGCGGAACCAGCCGGATTGTGACCGTGTGTTCGAGAAGGGACTGCTTTGCTCAGGCAGAACGTTTGAAGGAGAAGCAGCTTTCCAGAGAGAGTGAGGGACCGCAGAGAACGGACCCTTTTTTTGTTTTGTTTTGTTTTTTGGCGAAGCTTTAGATGGTCTGATGTTCGGACCCCCCCACCTCCCCGCAGATACACACTTGAGACATCTTAAGGAAGAGAAGTGTGAAGGTAGAGCTATGGTGGTGTGAAAGCAATGGCTTTCACATTGCTAGGAGGGAATAGGGGCTAGCCTGTTGGCAGGAGTTCATGAGCTTCAGAAAGGCTGATTGGTGAACTTAATAACCCTTAAGTGAGGAGTTAATAAGTCAACCTCCCCCTTTTCCCCTGGAAGCCTCATTTTTAAGCGGTGATGGAAATTGGGCCGGATAGATTGGTTAAGTTGCCTAGGTACTGATTTGTACTGGGATCTCGCCGAGTAGAGGTGACAGCTGTTGGCCACAGTTGTCTAATCTTTTAAAAAAAAAAAAAAGAAAAGAAAAATCCCTCAAAGGGGAGAAAATTAACATTACATGCACCGGGCGAGGTGCTGGTGGCTCCCACTGTAATCGTAGGTACTCAGGTGGCTGAGATCTGAGGATGGAGATTCGAAGCCACCCAGGGCAGGAAAGTCTGCAAGACTCTTGCTTCCAATTGATACCAAAAAGCTGGAAGTGGAGCTGTGGCTCAGAGTGTGCCAGCTTTGAGTGGAAGAGCTCAGGGACAGCATCTAGGCTTTCATTTCAAGCCCCTGTTCTGTGCTTGCACTCGTGCATGTGCATGTGCACGCGCACACACACACTCACACACATTATATGCCAACTATCCTAGCAGAGCAGGTTCTGCTGCCACAATATCTTAAAAGGATAAGTGACTCTAATCAAACCATGTATATAACCATATTGGATGTAACCATGGTGGAATTGGTTTGGTTTGTGAATGTTCATGGGCATGTTGGAGTAATTTACATGACCTAATAGGCTTTATTTAGAGATACTTGGAAATAGGAGAGAAGGTAACCGGAAGGAGAGAGCATCTGTAGAGACTACAGTTGACCTTCCTTGCACTATTCCTGCTAGTTTTGCCTTTGTAACAGTGTTTAGATTTTGTTTATATTTCTTCCAATCTTGGCTAGTGGTATGGCTCCACTGGTAGAAATCCTACTTAGCAAATTGGAGGCCATGAATTCAAACCTCAATGTGGGAGGTGTGTGTGTGTGTGTGTGTGTGTGTGTGTAAATTCTTCCACGCTTATCCTCTGTTCATCTTTATAGTTCTCATGATTGAATAATGTAGATTGTATCAGTCCTCACCTCCTGAGGAAAAAAGAAAATAGTACTTAGGGTCAACATCATCTAAGTGAAGGTCCTTGTCTTCACATGGCTTGCTTCAATTACTGCAGCAGCATCCTTTTGGTAATGCCTGAGGCCTCTCCTTTCCTCTTCTTTCCTTGATCTATTCTGCTCCCAAGAGAGCAGTTCTGAATCAAGTCATTCTACTACTGCCAAACAAACTACTCCCACTGTAATCTGACCCTCATTATTTCCTGCCTTTTTCAATATTGCTCTCTGATACGTCTCCCTACTTTGGTCATTCTGATGTTCTTAGTGCACAAATACATGTTTTTCTCTTTTAACCTGGAAGCCCTTCTCCTCTTTGCTCAATGAAATGTTTCAGAACCCATTTCCAATTCTCCTTGCCCAAAAACCATTTCCTGATGACTTCAGGAATCTTAGTACAAAAGTCAATGTCCTGCTATATGAGGTGTTTGGAAGAATCAGGAAGTTCAAGAAAGGGCTGGAAATATGGCTTCGAAGCAGAAGGATTAGTTGCATCGCATGTGCAATTCCTACCTTGCATCCCCAGCATCCATAAACAAAAGCAAAAACAAAAAACATTGAAAGGTCAAGCAGTCTTTGCCTTCAGTTTGATAGAAGTGATGCAGGAATGGGTAAAGAAAAGATAAAGATAATGCAGACAGTTTCTTTAGGAAACTGGGATTAAGGAGACTGGAAGATGATCCTATAAGGAAACAGCAGTCAAACAAGGCCTTAGAGAACTGGAAAAATAGGATAAGAAAACACTGAATGATGATGTGGAGGGGAGCCAGCTGTTTGGGGCACCCAGTAATGAAGTCTGGCTGGCTCAAGCAAGCACTACGCTCCTGGAAGGATGTAGTGAGATATCGCCTGGAATGTTAGGACCAAATTCTCTAAAACTGGAAATTCCAGCCCAAGAAAAATTTCTACTCTTTATCAAGTCCCTACTCCCTTCATTCTTCCTTTCTTTTTTTGTGCCTGTCCTGGGGCTTGAACTCATGGCCTGAGCACTGTCCTGCCCAAGACTAGTGCTTTCCTTCTGGCTTTTTTTTTTTTTTGTCAGTTGTGGGGCTTGAACTCAGAGCCTGTGCGCTGCCCCTGAGCTCTTCAGCTCAAAGCTAGCACTCTACCACCTGAGCCACAGCGCCACTTCAGGTTTTCTGAAGCAAAAAGAAAAAAGCCAGAAGTGGTGCTGTGGCTCAAGTGGTAGAGTGCTAGCCTTGAGCTGAAGAGCTGAGGGACAGCGCCCAGGCCCAGAGTTCAGGCCCCACGACCGGACCCAAAAAAAAAAAGAGTCTCACAGATTTTCCTGCCCCCCCCAGCTGGCTTTGAACTGTGATCCTCAGATCTCAGCCTCCAAAGTAGCTAGGATTACAGGCAGGAGCTACTGGTGCCTGGCTTCCTTCTGCCTTTTTTTTTTTTTTTGGTCTGGTTGCGGGGCCTGAACTCTGGGCCTGGGCACTGTCCCTCAGCTGTTCAGCTCAAGGCTAGCGCTCTACCACTTGAGCCACAGCGCCATTTCTGGCTTTTTTTTTTCTTCTGCTTATGTGGTGCTGAGGAATTAAACCCAGGGCCTCAGGCATGCAAGGCAAGTGCTCTACCATTGAGCCAACTTCTCAGCCCTCCTTCTGCCTTTTTGATGGTTAATTGAAGATAAGAAGCTCACAGGCTTTCCTGCCTGGGGAGTCTTTGAACCACAATCCTCAGCTCTCAGCCTCCTGAGTAGGTAGCATTACAGGTGGGAGCCACAAGCTCCTGGCTTTCAAGTCCCTATCTGTTGTGTAGCTGAAGAAATCAGAAATATTTGGACGGTTGATTCTGGCGCTTTATTTAGAATGGGGAAGTTCTAGAATCAAATCTAAGTTCTAATCTCTTTTGTCCACCAGAAGACAAGAAAGGGAGAGATTAGAGAAGAAGAGGGAAGGGAGAACCTCCAGCACTGACAGGAATGGGTGTGTGTTGGGGAGGGGGGGATTCACAGCCAGGTTTCAAGCCGGGGTGCCTGGGAATGGGAGCAAAATGGGTTTTGAATAGTAGCACCATTTATAGACGTTTTTGTTTTTTTTAAGTCAGGAGAAATGACGAGTGTGTTCAGGCTCATTTCACTACCAAATTAACCTTTATAATTACGTACTGTCACGCTTTATGCACTGGATATTTTTTTTTTCATATGTTGAAACAAAAAGGTACAACTTCTTCAAGGAAAGGTCTGTTTCTTGTTCTTTGTCTATAGCCCCTTTGGGTCTAGCACGCTGTTCATTTGTTTTGGGGCTGGGGAGTGCTGAGAGAGACCTGGCAACTGACCACATATTGGTTTAAGACCGAGCATACAGATTGACTCTGGTGTCTTTCTAGCCCATGCTCTTGCACCTGCTCATTTCCAATCACTGCCCTGTGGCATTCGGTTCCCATGGGGGGGTGTCCGAGCCATGCTAGCATGGCTTACTCGGTGCTACTGTTTCCATCACGATGTGACATTTTTCGGTCCCCCAAGAGTCAAGGCTAGAGATAGAATTAAGCTGAGAATAACAGCAGGAAATCTAGAAGCACAAAAAGAGAATGAGGCTTTCACCAGAGACCCAAAAATAGAAATCATGAGTCAGAGCACAGCCCAAAGGGATGGCTCCAGAAGTCAGGGTCTACATGGGAGACTCTAGTGTTGCACTGGTGCCAAGAGGAAGAGAATGGTGATGGGTTGGGGGGACATGTGCCCCTGCTAGGATCTCGGTGGCCCTGGGGCAAGCTGCAGTCACTGGGAAGTAATGTGACCAAAAGGCTTTTTGTGCCCTGTGCAGTCTGAGCGCTCCCTGCAGATTGGAGGGGGAAAAGTGAGGTTCCAGATTTCTGGCTATGGAAAAATGAGGTTCCAGGCATGAATGCAGGAACACAGAAAAGTAAACGGGAGTGTTCCTGAAGGTATCAGTGCTACAGGGAGAGGAGCGAGGAGCAATGAGAAGAAGGGATTGATTGATGACTGTCCACTGTGTATCGGGTGTGGGATCCACATTTTACTCTATTAGGAAAACACTTTTCCATTGCAGCTAGTATGAACCATGAGGTGCGTCACTCTTCCCAGGAGATGTAAGTGTTCAGGGTGGGCAGCTCCTCAGAGCATC